CCAGGACAGTGACTCATGAGGCTCTCTTAGAGACTGCATCCCTCAGAACTGTGAGTCGGGCTAACAACATCCACTTATCCTCTCGCTCATTTGTCCAGCCGTTTACCAAAGTCCCCGGGGTGCCAGACATTGTTCTGGGGATATGAAGACAACATGTCTATTTTCAAGGTGATCCTATTCGAATGGCGGAGACAAGTAGAGAAATCATTCAAACACAGAGTGAAAAGTATATACTAGAACATGCATGCATTCTTGATGGGGGCAAATATTGGTTCTCAGGGAGCAAAGAATCTTAGACGTTACATTAGAATGGTTTGTGGCCCTTCAAAGCTCAACCTTACCTGACTGAATCCATTCTTCAGATTTAATTTCTCTTGTTACAGAGAATTTAAATTGAATTGAATGTTTCTCCTTGAGGAGGGGAACAAGAATGAAGAGGAGTTGAGAACACTGGTAGAATACACAGGAGATATGGGATCCCCTGGAAAAGCTGCTGGCCGTGGCCGGGTAACCAGGAAGGCTTCCTGAAAGACAAGACACATGAGCCAAGTCTCAAAGGAAGGGTAGAAATTCTCCGGAGAAAGGCGTTTGTGCGTAGGGAGTAACACAAGCCAGGTTGAAGATGTTAGAAAAGCACTTTTCTAACTACGCTTTAAGGAGCTACGGCTGGTTCAGTGAGGAGAGAAGTTAGGAGATGGGACTGTGGTGGGAGAGGGGGCATGACCCTCTGGGGACTCAGAGGCTCCCAGTCAGCTCATACAAAGTGGTTGTATTTTATTCTCAAAAGAACTGAGGAACTTACAGGAAAGCTTCAAGTAAGACAGTAACATATTCAGATTTATGCCTTAAAAATATTCTGGGAAGAAAAGAGGAGGAATTGTCTATTGGCAGCACTGGTGAAAATAGATGTGGGGGAGGGGCAAAGGCAGGAGCCCAACCAGGAAAACAATTTAGGAAGAAACTGAAAAAACAGGGCAGAGCTGAGGTGGGGGCCTCTTCTAGAGCGAGTGTCGGTGGGAAGTTCTGGGAACGTCGCCTGGTGGACAGATGGCTCATAAGGGTCTGGATGCGGCAGTGTGTGTGCAGCCACCACCGTCTGTGAAAGTAAGGAAGCCAGACTAATTAAATAATCGTTTACTCAAGGCATCCATGAGTGTTTTCTAAGGAAATTTCTATCTTTTTTTTTTTTTTTTTAAGTTTGTTTAAGTAACCTCTACACCTGAGGTAGGACTGGAACTCGGGACTCTGAGATCAAGAGTCGCATGCTCCTCCAACTGAGCCACCCAGATGTCTCGATATTTTTACAGTTTTCGGGCGTCTGGGTGGCTCAGTCGGTTAAGCATCCGACTTAGGCTCAGGTCATGATCTCGCGGTTCGTGAGTTCGAGCCCCGCATCCGGCTCTGTGCTGACCGCTCGGAGCCTGGAGCCTGCTTCGGATTCTGTGTCTCCCTCTGTCTCTGCCCCTCCCCTGCTCCCGCTCTGTCTCTCTTGCTCTGAAAAATAAACATAACAATATTTTTAAATAAATAAATAATAAAACAATTTTATTACGAAAACTTCAAATGTATTTTTTAAATGGAGAAGAATGGTGGCATGGACCATCCAACACCACCAAGCATCAACAACTGTTAACTTAGGATCAATCTTGTTATACAGCTCCACTCTTATCCTAATTTCCCCACTCCACCCACACACTGAATTACATTGAACAAATTCTAGACACCTATCACCCCACCTTATAAACACTATTAATGTATCTATAAATGATATTCTTTTAAAGGATTTCTAAAAGATGTAGCTCCATATCATTACAGTTTAAAATATTAGCAATAATTCCTCATATCATCCAATATTCATTCAGTGTGCCATTTCCTTGATTTACGTGTGTGTGTGTGTGTGTGTGTGTCATTAGTTATGTAGGTAGAGATAGATAGATAAACTGATAGATTGATTAAAAAAAAAAAAAAAACGGGCGCCTGGGTGGCTTGGTCGGTTAAGCGTCCGACTTCGGCTCAGGTCGTGATCTCACGGTCCGTGAGTTCGAGCCCCGCGTCGGGCTCTGTGCTGACAGCTCAGAGCCTGGAGCCCGTTTCAGATTCTGTGTCTCCCTCTCTCTCTGCCCCTCCCCTGTTCATGCTCTGTCCTCTCTCTGTCTCAAAACTAAACATTTACAAAATGTTTTTTTAATAAAAAAAACAACAGTTGGTTTTAATTTGGTACAAAAAACCTACTCATTGTTTTTGGTTGAAATGTCTCTTAAATATTCCCTTTCTGGTCTTTGTTCCTGACAATTTACTTAATGAAGAATTCAGAAATAAGCTTCTATTTCTGTCATAATCTAACATAGCCTCACTTCTTCCTGTTTCCATCCCAACGTGACAGATAACAGGAGTGTGTCCTTCCTCACTAAATTCCTGCCATTTTTTTAATTGGCATCCCCGTCACAATTTAAACTCATGGAGTGCCTTAACTCATGGAGTGCCTTGATGGCTTGTTATTGTGAGGCCTCAGCTGCCTACTTTAAAAATGTCTCTACATAGGGGCGCCTGGGTGGCTCAGTCGGTTGGGCGGCCGACTTCGGCTCATGTCATGATCTCGCAGTCCGTGAGTTCGAGCCCCGCGTCGGGCTTTGTGCTGACATCTCAGAGCCTGGAGCCTGCTTCTGATTCTGTGTCTCCCTCTCTCTCTGACCCTTCCCCGTTCATGCTCTGTCTCTCTCTGTCTCAAAAATAAATAAACGTTAAAAAAAAAATTTTTTTTTAAATGTCCCTACATAAAGTGGCCTGTCTTAAACCCATTCGCTCTATTCTGGTGTTATTTTGCCATCTTTGTGATGCAAGTTGCAAAACTGTCAAAAACAAAAAACAAAAAAACAAAAACAACAACAACAACAAAAACCACCCAGGGCACTCACTCTGGATCGCCTAAAGAAGAAGTGAAATAGAGCCAACTTTTCCACCTTTTCCCAGCTAGTGGGACTGCACCCAAGCCCAGCTTCCTATACACCAGTGGTTATTTTCATCTGGACTGAAGTTTTAACTGAAACTTCCCACAGGTTGCTGGGTTCCGGTACTGGGCAGCTGTCATTTCCCACAACTCCCATTAAGCATCCATGGCCAAGTCCAGACTATTTGGTGTCCATTGACAAAGCAGTGTTCCTGCTTGCCCTATAAGGCAGAACAATAAGGGTCAGGGTCTTTCCACTGGCATAAACACCCGCACTGAATGACCTGTAGAGTGAGTGCCCCGGGGGTGACTAATATTTAATAATGCCAAGGTCTACTAATCAAATGACTCACCTAGAATTCTATCCAGAATATAGTTGATAGCACAGTCTACGAAGTACATGTAATCTATCCGATAATACCCTATTCCTTTATGTCAAAGCCAGCTCTGAAGGATGATGACATATCATAGTGTCGAAAATTTAGACTTTTGACCTCTGCCTCCACACGGTACTGTATCCTCCTGCTTCCTTCAGCAGCTCCCTAGCACATGATCACCACCTTGTTGGCCACTTGGGTAGAAGCCTGTAAGTAGTTTGTGAGCCGTCAAACTAAAGCTCTTGACACTGGATGTGGAGGCTTCTTGTCTGCCAGTACAGATTTGAGTGTAATATTGGATATTTTTATATCGTAAGAGGTTGATTTAAGCATTGCCGTGTGTGGTAGACGGTCTTGAATTCTCTGTGCATGGAGCTTATTAGGAGTAGAGTACCGAGGAAGTGGAGGGGATGGGTACATTCCAGAAGTCGCAGTCTATGGCAAGAATGGAGTAAACGCTGGCAGGAGAGAACATATCACTTCCTACACTACTCTACAGACCTTTCGTTTTATGCTCATTATAATTGTTCACTGTACACAGTTGATAATTGAATCGTTAATTCAGGCTCTTCTTTTCCTCCTTATTTCAGGGTTTCATGTCATAAATGAACAGCTGCTCCTTGCAGAAATGTGACTGTGGTAATGCTTAACTAGGATACAGTCTGATTGTAAAACTGTGTTAAAGTAGCTCCGGGACCATTTCACTGTATCCTTGGGTACAGAAATGAAACAGCTCCTTAGCCATTCGCGGGTCCGGGGCACAAGGAATAGAACGAGAAATGCCCGAGGACCTGAAGCATGTCACAAGCAAAGAAAAACACTTTGAAATCTGAGACTGCATATTTGTAACCCTGACACACTGAAAACCCCCAACAATGTTAAAGGTGTCCCGTGACATCTTGCAGGCCAGTGCTGTAGGAAGACCGCATTAACAGAGGATTTCCTTCATACCAATGTTAAATGGTGAAAGTTAGTTCATGACCGTGGCAGCCTGGTATATGCTACCGAAACGTGATTTGCATGGCTCTTAATCTCTAGAACAGAGGAGAGAGAACCATTCAAACCACGACTTTAATACCTGTGAATTTATCCGTAGGATTGACGTTTTAAGATACAATCAGTGGAATGACGTGTAAGGGATTTTAGATTTCTAAGCCACCTCGTCCGAGCCCCGCTTGGCCATGTATATGCTAACGTTTGCTCCAACCCTGAGTAAAATGTTCTCATATTGGAAGTTAGCTTGCTTGGAAAGGCCTGGAAATAGGAATGGCCTGGCCGGGTCTCTGTCACTGCATGACTCTCTCTCTCCTGCTTCAGTTCCTCCTCAGCCATGCGCTCATGCCTCAGGTATTTGTGGCACACAAGTGCTGGGCAAGCCCTGTACTAGGTATGGACACCGTCCAAAGGGCCTGCGGTGCCAGCCCAGTGGCTCACTCACTGATTTCAAACACAGGTCATTAGGCAGTGAACCCCTTCCCGGACACTAAGGTAACCACATCCCTGTATTAGAATGTGATATATCCTAAGGAGATTCTACTTCCCCAGATAATGATTTCCTGAGACGTAAGGTTTTCACGATGACGTTTCGAGTTTCTTATTTTGTGTATGAATATATGTGTCTTCTTACTTCGCTTTTTCCAAAGAAACCAATTATGACTCCTTGGCGTTTATTGCAGATGAGCAAGAAAGTTCCGGAGCAATTATTTACACTGTGGAGCTTAAGCGCTATGGGGGGCCCCTTGGCATCACAATTTCAGGAACTGAAGAGCCGTTTGATCCTATAATCATTTCAAGCCTCACTAAAGGGGGATTAGCTGAAAGGTAAAATTTCAAGAAAATGCTACAATTACCTGTGTCTGAGATGGGTTGCTGTCCTCACAAGCCGCATAGAAATATGCTCCCCTCTCCTGGTTGGTTACCTGTTGACTTTTTCAGATCCGCACAAAGAATTGATTTTAGAGCTTGAGAACTCTCAGGCAGAGCTCCGACTTGACTTTGAGGGGCATCTTACAGGCAGTAACAGATATCATGGGCTTAGCCTTGATATTACTCTCCGGAAATGTATACGCTTGACCACAGTCAACTGGAGGTGGGTTTATATTGTGTCCATTTTGAGAGGAGACTGAAGTTCAGGGAGGTTAAAAGGCTTGTCCAGTTCAATTCCGCAAACATTTACTGAGGCTCTGTTACCTGACAGGTACTGGGTTTGGCCGCTGTGTTTTCCAGAGAGGATGACCCAGGCTTTGTCTTCAAAGATTTGGGGAAACAAAGTGTAGTGACCCATCTTCATAATGTCTTGTAACTTAGAAGGTCCATCTGTTGTGTTGGCAATGATGCGCACACACACCCAAGCCCCGCTAAACTGCTTTTCTTTCTGAGACGTGATATGGTGCATCTTCCAAACCCCATAACCAGATCTTTCCTCTGGTAGGCTTGCTCAGGGAAGCACACACGTCATTCATGCCGACACGAATAATGGTTTGCAGAGTAGAGCTGCAGCACTGCAGAACTTTGGAGCTTCCAGGCACCGTGGAAGTCAGCTCCCCCAACATCTTCATCTGGGAGATGTGGGCACTGAGACAGCTCAGAAAGGTTCACCCTGTAGGAATGTCACAGTCCGATATTAACAGAGATGCCGACGCTGTGGTATTCTTCAGATATTCTCTTTTCCTAGCTTCCCCTGCTAGAGAGACAGTCCCACATATCTCTGTTAGGGAGACAACAAGAAAAGATTAATATTGATCTGATTCAGCCACCTACCGGTCAAGTGTTCTGTGGTTTACAACACAGATCTTTCATAAACTGGAGATCCTTTATGAATGAATTAAGTGATCCTTTTTTTTTCCCCCTAAGAAAAAATTTCCTTGAGAGTAGATGCATCGGTACACTCGTTAAGCGTGCTCTCGTAACCTGTGTGACCGCGTGTCACCTCTGTTACCCCAGTTGCTGCTGCCCAGCGCCCCAGAAGCAAGCTGTGGTCAGAACGCTCAGCCTCAAGCAGCCTGTGAGCTGGGCCACTTCCCTCCCTCAGCGTGCTTACAGTGAGCCAGTACAATAAGAGGCTAGCGCTTGGAGAGATCTGAGTGTTTATACCATCCCTGAGCTTGAAAGCTTATGACCCTACTCCTTCCCCACCCAGTGCTTCCAAAGATGGATATGGTGAACATCAGAATTATGAATTCCAACCTGCCTGCTCAGAACTGGGTGAGGACGGAAAGAGAAGAGAAAAGGCCAGAGGTTTATTAGTTCATCGATCAATAAATTTTCTTTATCCATCTTTCAAGCAGCAGGCTGAGCCCTTTACATGAGATTCCCCGTTTAATCCTCAGGGCTCCCCTGAGAGATGATCATCCCCATTTTGCCCCCTGAGACGTGAGGAAACTGACACCCAGAGAGCTTAAATGAAGGTACCCGGGCCACACAACTGGGAAGTTGGATTACAATGTAACATTAGTTGATTCCTGAATGGAGCCTTTTCTATCCTTGGAATTACCAACAGAGGGACCCCGACGCACCAGGGTCTGGTGCAGGTCCCCACCTGTCTGAGCCTCACTTCCGGTGAGCTGCGGGAGTGATTGTGTTCAGTCTTTCAAATCTGTCAAAAGAAGGCATGCCCCATACTAAACATCGCTGCGTTTATTGTCCAACATTGTTTCTTTCCTCGGGATCTTTAAGAGGTTACCAAATGACCCAGCGTTTTTTTTGGAATGTAAAAAGCACACAAGTCCGTTCAAAATGCTAATTAAAACAGTTTTTCTGGGGCGCCTGGGTGGCTCAGTCGGTTAAGCGGCCGACTTCAGCTCAGGTCACGATCTCACACTCCGTGAGTTCGAGCCCCGCATCGGGCTCTGTGCTGACCGCTCAGAGCCTGGAGCCTGTTTCAGATTCTGTGTCTCCGTCTCTCTGACCCTCCCCCATTCATGCTCTGTCTCCCTCTGTCTCAAAAATAAATAAACGTTAAAAAAAAAATTAAAAAAAAAAACAAAAACAAAAACAGTTTTTCTGATTTTATTTGAAACTAAAAAGTGATTCCCAGCAGATGCAGTTATCTTGTACCATTGCCCAGGAGAAAGCTAGAAGTGGCTTCTAGAGACCCTTGCCAAATCTTTATTACTATGAATATGTAAAGTATGGTGGGGAATTGATATTCAGCTGCACACAGGGATTATTTCTACCTTTCCTATTACCATGTGGTGTTTCAGAACCGGCGCAATCCACATAGGAGACCGAATCCTGGCCATCAACAGCAGCAGCTTGAAAGGGAAGCCTCTGAGTGAGGCCATCCATTTGCTACAGATGGCCGGAGAGACCGTCACCTTGAAGATTAAGAAACAGACAGATGGTGAGTGGGTCGAGAGCCACAGTGAAGGGCTTTCAGTGCATTTCTTTCCCTGCGTGTGTGTATGTTTCTAAGGAAATGACTCTCCTGAGGGAGCATGTCAATATCTTTGTATTTAAATGGACGCTTAGACTTCAAACTCCTTCTCTGTCTTTAAAGCCCAGGCAGCATCAAGTCCCAAGAAATTCCCCATCTCTAGCCACCTGAGTGACCTGGGAGATGTGGAGGAGGACCCCTCTCTGGCACAGAAGCCAGGCAAGCTCGCTGACACCTACCCCTCCACCGTGCCCAGTGTGGACAGTGCGGTAGACTCGTGGGACGGCTCTGGAATAGATAGCGGCTATGGGAATCAAGGTATGTCCTAGCCTCAGGGAGCAGAGGACTGACTGTTGAAGCCCGTGTGCCTCAAAGATCCACCCTCTGCTTTCTGAAAAGAAACACCTTTATTTATTTTACTTGCGTCTACTTCAGCATAACCAGATTGAACACACTGAATATGGCGGCCTGGCATTTTCTCCTTAACACCCGTAAGTCATGAGCATTTATCAAACACTTGCGAGGCCCTCACCAGATCTACTGATGTCTAACTGTTCAATCCACTTCATACGTAGATTAATATGAAGCAACCCATACAATAAAGCGGTTCACTGAAGGCAGGCCCCATTCTTACTTTTTAAGCAGGCTTTCCACAAAGATGGATTGGGAGCGCTGAAGGTGTGTGCTTCAAGAGATGAGTCAGTGACTTGTGACCCCATTTATTCCTGCCTCCTCCTGACTCTTAATAGAAACTTATCCAGGTTTCCCAAACACTCGCTATTAGAGAGCTGTAACCACGATATATGAAAGTAGAGAGCAGATTTTTCTCCACAAGCATCATCCTCACGTGAAGAAGGGTAACCTCCGTTAAAAGTTAAACCTCACTGACACTGTGAACGTACAAAAAGTGTTAGGCTGAGTGCGGACTATAAACTAAAAGCTTCTTGTCTCTTCCCTTCGACTCTTTCCTTCGAATGATACACAGCATCAAAAGAGAAATGTGCCAAAACTTCTTTGTATTTCTCCCACATGGGATTGAGACGTGATTGCCCCCATCTGGATCTCTGGTGAAAATGCCCCTCGAGGAAAGGATGTTCCAGATTGCCCCTGTGGTGCCTAGAGAATATTTGAATTGCAGGTTAAGCCACATCTGCTCAACTACCTAAAGGTGGACAGACTGGCCACCAGCGGGGACTGGGGTGTCCTGGCCATGTTCACATGTGCTGAAAGCTGTAGGTGGGACACTGGCCACACAGAGGAGTTGGTTTGAAAGCAAGATACAACAGATACACTTTAAAGACCACCGTGGAAGGCCTCACAAATGCTCCTAATCTCTTAGACCTTGCAATTTCATTTCCGGGACTCTGTCCTAAGGAAATAATTTTACCAGAGTCAGAGATACAGAGACATTGCTTTAGGCACTGTTTGCAATGTGTACATATTAGCGAAACAAAAATGTCAACGGACAGGGAATTAAATAAGTGTTTGGTGTATCTATTCCAAACAAAAACTAAAGCTAAAACTTCACCTTCTCTTTTTTGCCTTGTATAAATTCCAGCCTTCACATCCCTTTTCTGCTCTGATTTAACTCGGTCAGAGAATAAAACACATAAACCAAGAGTCTGGAGCCCCACACTCAGTTGGGTGTGGGAGTTGGTTTGTAACTTATTTTAGCTACTTTTTAGGAGACTGTATCCAGTTTGCTCTCTTCCTGGTTCTGCTAGTTTTCTCCCCTCAAGTCCCGTGAAGAGTAGAGGACAAGGAAAAGGAATGATATTTCAAAAGTTCTCAAGTCGTCACTTGTCAGAGAGGATACTGGAGTTTGGTGGAGAAAATATTCTGAAGACCCAAAATAGAATTGGAGCTTTTATGTATCTGCCAATTAATTTTTCCACATCATAATTGCTTGTGACGGCTTAGCTATCCCACCAAATAACTGCTCTTCTCATTGTAAGTTGTTGAGTCACCAGAGGTCTCAGATAAAGGGTAGAAGTCAAATTCTCTCAGCGTAGACTCTGAGGTTTATTTATTAATGTGCTTGCTTCTTTATTGTTTGTCAATGTGGAGACTCTCATGTTACGCAGATTGTTTGTAAGGACGTTCTTGATTTTAATGATGTCCACCCATAAGGTAACGTGTAAGAACTTAGCTACTCTCAGGGCCACCTGGCTGGCTCAGTCAGCGGACCGAGCGACTCTTGATCTTGGGGTCATGAGTTCGAGCCCCACTTCGGGTGTAGAGATTACTTAAAATGAATAAACAAATTTTAAAACTTAAAAAAAATTAAAAGAGACAGAACTTAGGTACTCTGCCCCTTTATACCATAGGATGAGGACTGTGATTAGCATACTAAATATAGGGCCTTTCCCAAAATAATAAAAAATGAAGAACCACTTATTATTCACGAAGCTTTTGGAAATGTGAATTCCTAGATGGAGAATTGCGATCATAATAATATTAAATTTGACATTAGTAAGTTAGAAACCTTTATGAGGTTAGAGAGATGATGAAAACATAGTAACACCTTATATTTGTGAAACTCTAATCTCAATTCTCGTAAGGAACATGAAGTTCCTCAGCGTGAGGGGAGAATTTAGGAGGCAGCTCTCCCACGTCCTCGCCGGGAGCTCTGATGGCCCGAAGTTGTCACTCGTACGGAGCTGAAATGTGTCTGCCCGTGGCCCCTGCCTGTCGGTCTCAGCTGTGCCCTCCAGGTCATTCAGAACTAGACTGAAGTGTCTTCTACTCAACAGCCCTTCAGATACTCCAAGTCAGCTATCGTGCCTATTTGGAGTCTTTCCTCCTCCAAGCAAAATCGCCCCAGGTCCTTAACTGTTCCTCGCATAAAACTTACTTTTGAGTGTCTTTATCATCCTGAGGGCCTCTCTTCTGAGTATGTTCAAGTTTAACTTCTTGAAGTCTGTCTCTCAGAAAGGAAGGTTATACAACAGCCTGACAGTCCAGAGCAACTCAAGCCTGTCACCTTCATCACTGAAAATTTTAGAGCCTGTGAACACAGCCTATCTTACCTCAGCGTAAGAATTTTGGTGGTCAGATCCTGTCACTCATTTTGAGCTGATTGTTTACCAAGATCTCAAAGTATGTTTTTTTTCCCTTTTCCTCGTGTTATTAGCTTAAACCCAGTCTCTCCAGATTGTGCTTGTGCAGTTGGCTTTTTTTAAAAGTAAGGCATAGGGGCGCTTGGGTGGCGCAGTCGGTTAAGCGTCCGACTTCAACCAGGTCACGATCTCGCGGTCCGTGAGTTCGAGCCCCGCGTCGGGCTCTGGGCTGATGGCTCAGAGCCTGGAGCCTGCTTCCGATTCTGTGTCTCCCTCTCTCTCTGCCCCTCCCCTGTTCATGCTCTGTCTCTCTCTCTCTGTCCCAAAAATAAATAAAAAACGTTGAAAAAAAAAAATTTTTTTTTAAAGTAAGGCATAGAACCATACTTCCTTTTCCCTGGTAAATACTATGTTGTGAGATACAGATGATCTTCAACGTGCTCTTCCAGACGCTCAGCAGACCTTCTACCATATCCCAGGAAGACGTTGCACATTCTGACTGTACCCTGCAGTCCACAATAGCTGTCCCATTCCCAATAAGATGTCACACCTCCATGATGCACATCTTCCTCCTTGGGGCCAATGTCTCTGCAGCCACATTCCTTACTGTTCTCTGCTTCTTCTCCAAAGTGTGAAACTTGTCCCTTTCATTCATTCAACAAATATGTAATGGCTGGCACACTAAAAGGCCAGCATACATGGATACACATGATGGGCCAGAGAGTTGGGGTCCCTATTCTCATGGAAGGGGTAATGCACTTGAAGGGCCAATTAACAAGCTCCTACAGTGCAAAGTATTAATTAGTTAACACAGAAAGAAGTAGGATGGAGTCATCAAAGCTGTGGGGAAAGGAGTGTGTGTAAAGAAGTCTTGGGGCGCCTGGGTGGCTTAGTTGGTTAAATGTCCAGCTTCGGCTCAGGTCACGATCTCGCAGTCTGTGAGTTCGAGCCCCGCGTCGGGCTCTGTGCTGACGGCTCAGAGCCTGGATGGAGCCTGTTTCAGATTCTGTGTCTCCCTCTCTCTCTCTGCCCTTCCCCTGCTTGCTCTCTCTCTCTCTCTCTCTCTCTCTCTCTCTCTCTCTCTCTCTCTCAAAAATAAACATTAAAAAAATTTTTTTAAAGAAGTCTTACAATGGGATGACTCTCAATTCTATTGTGCAACTCTAGGATGCAGACTTTTTCTAGTCTGCCTCTGGGTCAGCTTCTTCTATTTCCCATTCTCTTGACCCTTATGTTCATACCCTCCTGCCTTATCGAAATCTTACGCTTTGGCCCCCCCTTGTCTTATTTATGCCTCTAACTCAAAAAACCCTTTCCTTGGATTTAGCAAAGGATGGACTGACAAATTGCTTGCACCTGGACTCTGTCATTCTCCTGGAGGGCATAGCTCTTTTGTTGTCTGTAATTCTTGACTCTCAACTCAGATAGCTTTGTTTCTGTCTTATCCTACCCTACTCTTTAGATATTTCTTTCTTTTGAGTTCATCTTTTTCAGCTTTATCGAGATATAATTGACAAATAAAATTGTATATATTTAAAGTATACAATGTGATGATTTTGATGTACAAACATATTGTGAAATGATTACTGTCAAGTTGATTGACACATCCATCATCTTACGTTGTTACCATTTGTGTGTGTGTGTGTGTGTGTGTGTGTGTGTGTGTGTGTGTGGTGAGAATGCTTAAGGTCTACTTTCTTAGCATATTTCAAGCATACAATATTTTTAACTGTAGTCACCATACTGTAAATGGTGTAAAGTTAATCAAACTCTGTAAATCTCCAGAACTTATCATGTCTCCATTTCTCCCGCTCCCCGGCCCCTGGCAAGCACATTCTACTGTCTGTTTCTATGAGTTTGACGTTTTGTTTTGTTTTGTTTTTAATTTAGGCTTTACATATAAGTGAGCTAGTAGTATTTGTTTTCTCACTCACTTATTTTATTTAGCATAATATACTCCAGATTCACCCATATTGTTGCAAATAGGATTTCCTTCATTTTTATGGGTGAATAATTTTCTGTTGTGTATATACATTACATTTCTTTATTCATTCATCTGTCAGTGGACAACTTAGGTTGTTTCTGTATCTTGACTATTGTGGATAATGCTGTTATTATATTCTATCTCTTCAAGATACCTACTATATTTCCTTCTGGATATATACCCAGATGTGGGATTGGTGGATCCATTTTGAGGTCATTTGTATCATTTGTATTTTCTCAGAAAAAAAAAATCTGTTTCACACAGGTTTTTATTTT